ACAATGTGCATTTTTGGGTCTGATCAAGACCCTTGATTTTAAATTGGTGGTTGAGGGCAACTTGCTATTTACCTAAGTGGTTCCAATCCTTCTCTCTCCTGGACTTGATCTCTAATTGTATGCCTTTATTATTAAAGCCTATCTTTCCAACATATCCACAAACACTAGTCTAGTTTCCCCTTTTATTCTTTGGTTCTCCATCACATAGAGCATTGTTTTCTCATATGTGATTTTCAGTCCACGTACTCTTTTTCATGTTAATTATATTTCCTAAAAATAGCACCTCGGTGGACCCTACCTCCTGATCTACTCTACATTTGTTTCTTTTTTTTAATTTAGTGAATCAAGGCCATCTATATTAGAGATTTTAACAAATCTTCTCTGCCTCATTTTTCTTATGCTCTTTTTTTTGCCATCAGTTGTCTGCTTGTCTTCTTCATTCTGTTTTCTGCTCCATTCATTGAGGCCTCTCTGCCACTGTTCCTGGAATCCTAGTACTTTTCTCTCTCTCTAGAATGCCCTGCAGTATTCTCTGTAGAGTTGGATTGGTAGTCATGAATTTCCCAAGTTCTGTTTGTCTGGAAAATTTTGTTTCTACATTAATTTCTAGAGACAGATTTTCAGGGTATATCAATCTGGGCTAGAGGTTATTCTCTTTCAGGTCTTGGAATATTTTGCTTCAGGCTCTTCTTGACTTAATCATTTGTGTTGAGAAGTCTGCCATTATTCTGATGGGTTTTCCTTTATAGGTGTCATGTCTCTAATAGTTTTTAATATTCTGTTCTTGTACTGAAGTTCTGGGATCTTGATCCTTATATGCCTGGGTGTGTCTCTGTTTTGATTGTAGGTGGCTGGAGTTTTGTATGCCTCATACATCTGTATATCATTTCCCTTTCCTATGTTTGGGAAGTTTTCCTAAATTATATCTGTGAATAGCCATTGTTCCTTTGTTTGTACCCCTGATTCTTCATTGAAATTCTTTATTCTCAAGTTATAGATCCTTTTATCATCTTCTAGCCTTTGTATTGTTACTGCTTGTTTCCTGGTTATTTTTTAAAAGTTTTTCCTTTCATAATCCCATATTGCAAACCTGTCCTGCATTTTGGATAATCTACCCTTAGTTTCTTTCAACAAGTTTTTCCACCTTTCCATAGAATTTTTAATTTCCTGGAAATCTTTTTGAATATGCTTCATGTATTCTATATTTTCTTTATATTCTTCATTAAGACATTCTCTCCTTTGTTTGAGTTCCTCAGTTCTTCTATTTGTGTCTTCTTAAGGGGTATTTAGCATTTCTTTTACTAATCTTCTTATATCGTGTTGTACTTGGCTAAACATTTCCCTTTTAAATTTGTATATGAGGTCCTGAAGATATCTCTTTATGTCCACTGGTGCCGTGTCTGATTTTGCATGTTTGCTGTCCTCATTCTCCTTTGTATTTACCTGTCCTAGGTCAGTGTTCTCAGGTTTGGGACCTGGGTACATTTTCTTGTTGCTTCCTCCTCCCATCTCTTTTGTTTCTTCCAGGAGGCCGCAGTTTCTTTCTTCGTTGGTTATAATTCTTCTGAAGCACAATAACTAGGTGACCCTTCCCACTGCAGTGTGCTAGTGAGTTGCAGACAGGGTCAGTGTATGCTGACCCTCCCTCCTGATTAGTCAATCTGCTGATGCTTTCACTGCTTTAGTGTGCACTGCCACTGTAGGGAACTGATTTTGTATAACTTATTTGATCTCAGCCAGTTCACATGACGCAGGCCAAATTCACTCCTCCAATCCCATTCAGAAAGGGAACAACTGACTGAAGTCAGTGCTGTCCCTTGTTCCTGCCAGTTCTACCTGGTCCCACATCATCTGTTGGAGGCCCCTTCTCTGTGGAATTGTTTTATTCCAATCACTCACCACAGGTTGATGCAGGTTCCCCACTAGCTCAGTTCTCTGTTTGGCTCACTGACCCTGACCTCAGTGTGATTGTGTTTCCTGCGAGTCGAGGTGGTGGGATTTTGGACAGCTTGGTAAGTTGCCACCGCTCAGGTTGGGGCAAAGCAGAGGGAGCACTGAACCTTTAGCTGTTCCAATATTAGCACCAGGGCTGTATGACTGATTGGTTCTTCTCACATTAGTTTCTTCTTGGGATGAGTGAATTCATCTCCCTCTTTTCTGGACTCCCCACACTGTATTATGTTGAATTCTAAGTTGACTATCTCAGGGAGCCTCTGTAGCCTGCTGTTATCTATCTGCCATCTTTATGGAGCCCTCAATAGTTTCCTTTAGGTTCTGGTATTTGGCCTGAACTTTCAGGCTTGTAGGCACAATATAATTTTCAAGTGATTTAAAAATATGCTCCTAAATTTTGAGTAATTTGAACTGTGAAACTGGGCCATTGTAACAACCCAGGGAAGTGGCCAAACTGAATAGACACATTATCTCATAGAGGAGTTTCTTAGCTACACTGAGAGCTGATTCAGTCTGAGTGATGAACCCTTCAGTGGACCAGATGAATGTGTCTACATGAAATAAGAGGTATTTATATCCCCCTCTTCCTGGGCCCATTTTTGTAAAGTCTATCTCCCAGTGGTCTCTAATGATAAGTCCTTATTGCCTGTTTCAAATATCAGTGTAAGTCAGCTTAGGGTTCACTTGAAAACACTGTTGGCATTTTTGGCTGACCTCTTTAGTCAGAAGAGACATCTTAGCCAATTGGGTTCCCCCAAGTGAGTGGTCCAATAGGTCTCCAGGATGACCTTGGGGCCTAATGATTCTGGGATTATAATTTGCCTCTCTGATAAGATTGGCCATCCTTGTGGGTTTGAGCTGGACTTCTAGGCTCCCGCCTCATCTCAAGTCTGAATCTGAATAGGTTAACTTGGGTTGCAGAGATGGTAGGAAAGCTGAGAGGAGTATTATAGGCCCCACTGGTTTTAGTGCCACGTCTTTGGCTGTCTTATCAGTGAGGATATTTCCCTGAGTTACTGAGGTATCTTCCTGCTGGTTCCCCAAACAGTGCATAAGGCAACCTTTTGGGGCAGCCTAGAGGTCTAAGATCTTGGGGGCATTCTTGATCTTTGCTCCTGCCAATATTAATAATAGTCTACTTTCCTGATAAATGGCACCATAAACATGGATGGTAGCAAAAGCACACTGACTATCTGTCCCCATCTTAGGGATTGAGAAAGGGCTATCAGTTCTGCTTGCAGAGCTAAAGTTCTTGACCCTCATGATTGGGCCCATACTACCTCAGCTTTGGTATTCACCATGGCTCCTGCCACTCATGTGTCTTGGTGGAGGTAACTGCAGCCATCTCTGAAAAGGATACCTTTCAGCTGAACAAGTGGGACTTCAGTAATGTCAGCTTGTAACATGAGACTGAGACAATAATGTCCTTATAATTTTGTATTAGCATTGAGAAATCATCATCTGGCAGGAGAGTCACTGGACTGAGGGCTGAGCTAGACAAGAACTCGATATGTTAAGTATCCAGTACCAGGGCTTGGTACTGGACAATGCAAGTGTTAGAAAGCCATCTATTGGGAGGTGACTGCAATAGTGCCTCCAAACTGTGTGGAAACACTATCTAGAGTCTCTGGCCAAAAGTCAACTTAGAAGCCTCTGTAGTGAGTATTAAGGCGGCTGCAAATGTCCATAGGAAATTTGGCTACGATGTACCCATGAGGTCTAATTGCTGGAAGAGATAGGTGACAGGCTTTGTAGGGTCCCAGGTACTAGGCTAAGAGTTCTTTTTTGATCCCATGACTGTCAGCCACATGAAATTGGAAAGATTTGGCTAAGTCAGGGAGAGCAAGGGCTGGAGCTTTTACAAGAGCCATTTTAAATCATTGGAATCTTTTTCCTCTAACTCAGTCAAGGCTAAAGGTGCAAATGGAGTCCCTCCAGTAGAAGAACACAGTGCTTGAACCACGTGGCAAAACCCAGGATCCACAACCAACAGTAGCCCAAAGTGCTTAGAAATTCTCTAACTTTACCTTTAGCCTCAGGAAAGGGATTTTTAAGATGTTCAAGTCCAATGGATCTATTCAGGTGTTGAAGACTTTTAAGCTATCTCCACTAACTCTGTGAGTTTACCTTTAAATCTTTCTAATCTTTGAAGCTTTTTTCTAATATCTGGGCTCAAATGAAAGACAAATATGACATGTTTATTCTCAAGTGCCTTCAGATCAATATGTGCATAAATATGATGTGCCTCTAAGAAGTGCTCCAAGACAATAAATGGAGCCTTGTCAGGTGTCTAATTTACCTGTGCTTAGACCAATTAGTTGCTTCCAAGCAGCTGTTTTTAAACACCCACAAGTATCTGGCAAAACCATATGTGAGCCTCCTTACCTTAGATAGGGTGAATGAGGGGAAACAGAAGTCCAAATAGGCTGATCCCATCTGGGTCACCATCCAGTCCTAAGGCCAGTTTTGGTTCCAGGATGTGGATGTGTACTTGTTCCTCAGAATTGAATAGATTCTGGAGAAGCTGTTGGCAGGATTTTCAGGGGAAGGTACTTAGGAGAGGAGGGTTCTGGGTGGAATCCCAGAAAAGCAGCACTGTTGCCAGCCAGGTTTGTACCCACCAGGGAAGCCATGCAGCTACCTGTGCATGCTCTTGGCCCCAGAGATCTTCAGGTCACCATTGCCTTCACCATACTCTGGCTCCTCTCAGAACATGGGAACTGCTGCTCTCTCAATGCCTGTGCTGCTGCTGCAGCTCTGGGAATGGCAGGGCTCCAAACTGGAGGGGCTGTGCTCACTTGGGCTGATTACTCAGTGCATGCAGGGAAGAGGAAGACGGTGCCAAGCAATTTTCTGTCCTGGGAGCCTAGAGACATCCAGGCCTCAGTTTTCAGGATTTAGAGCACACAGCAGATACCAGGCCTTCAGGCAGGGGCAAGTTCCCCCTCTCACCAGGGAACCCACTGAATGGGGTGCCTGTGGTACCATTGGCAGCTGCAGTGGCAAAGAGTTGAGGCAGACCATCTGACACAAGGAGAAGTTAAAAGTCACTTAAACAGGCCAAGAGACTCCAAAGGTGGGCCATTCAAATTCACAAAAAGTTTGGAGTATCCTGCATAAACAGGTTCACCGTAGACAGAGGATATCTGACAAAATTCTTGAAAATGGTTGAGAACCTATTGCAGGGGCAACAGAGAAGCAGAAGCAGACTGCCCCATAGACAAATAACAAGTACAAAACCAGAGATAAATGAGATTTCAAAACAAAGACAGAGACTAAGTCAGTTTAGAAATTGACACTAAGGAACTAATTTGAACTTAAGTTCAACAAGTCCCGCACTAGACAAATGTCTTTTCTGTGAATGCTTCCCAGAAGCTTTAATTTTCCATCCAACAATTTAGAAAGACTCCCAAAGGCCCTTCAACAAAACTAAACCAGTTTTACTGATAAGAACCCAAATGACTCATTCTGAATTTAGCATCCAAGGTTTTGGTTTTCGTTTCTCTTGGAAATGAAAAGATTCCTTGGGTCGAGGAATATCTCTTGGCAGTCCCATTAAGGAATAATTCACTTGAAAGAGAGGCTTGGATTCTATAAATCCCTAAATAGGGATCCAACGTGAGCCCACAAATGAAGTGGATTCATGGACAACATAGGAATCCAAGCAGCCTAAATGGTAAATTTGGGATTCAGTTTAGCTGAGTTCAGTGACCACCCATGGACCTCTGTTTAGGAGTCAAAATGAGTAGCACTCAACTGAAAAGTTACAGAAATTTAAAACAGAAATCCACTAAAAGACATCCTAATGGAAACAATTGATCTAGAATCTTCCATTATATTTTAGTTGACATTTGTATCCTGCTTCTTTGTTAAGTTAATGTTTTTCTTGTGAGGGTAGCTCAGTCTTTGTTTCTTGTGGAACTTGAACCATGAGTAATTTTCCAGTCTTCTAACTCAAATACAGGACAAAAGATGGTACTAGTTATGCCAAGTTACAACAATCATAAGATTTGATAGACAAAAATTTTTTAAAATGCCATGAAAGGCATGATCTCAAAACTCAAGAGCAAACCTGGTCTTTCTCCCAATTTTTCACAAGCAAAACCCAAGCATAACAGGAGAATTTAGTTAGTCATCAGTATGCTAGTTAGAATTCTATAGAAATTATCGACTCTTATTGATATGCAAATCAGTGTGCTGAATATAGGCATAAAATTACATAATAAGTATGGAAGAAACTAGAGATGAAATTGTGTAAAATACTGAACACCATTTTTGAATCTGGACATCTACTAATGAATTATAGGCTAGTAAAGAGGTAAAGCTGATCAATTGCCTCTTAGGTAGGCTAAAATTTACTATAAGAGAAACTATGTGGGCTGTTTTAATATCCCCCAGAACATAGAATGCTGACCTGCGCATTTTGGGTATATGTAGTGTTTCTAGGGTATCAACACATTGTCTTTCATTTTGACAGCACATGTCCATCTTTACCAAATTGGAATGTCTAATCCTGAAGTATAAAATGAACAAGAAAGTGTATATTCCTAGTTGGAAATGCAGGCATAATAGTGGCCTGATCATTTATAATTGAGTCTATTTTGAAATCAATGATTAAAGATGAATCTCCATATATTTTAATTGCCTTCACAGTATCTTAACTATAAAAATTCTTTTTTGAAAATATGCCAGGCAATTAGAATGGTAACTCACAATCAAAATCTCTTTCAGTCCCACCAAGATGGCATTCATAAGACTAATCCAAAGAATAAATGTCTCTCCTTCACTTGGGTGTTAAGTAGTAGTTGAGCCAGGGTTCATTAATGATTGTCAATGGATGTCCATAGGCAGTGATTACCTGTTCAGCTTTTAAATAGATAGCCATGATATATCTTTTTGTTCCTTAGCCATTTTTAGTTTTATATTCACTCAGTCTTTGCAAACTTTTTCAGGATGAATAGTAATATTGACATCTCATTCACAGTGATCACAGAGGAATTTCAAGATGGCACCTAGTATAAAAATGAAGCTGATATAGATTTCACTGTGTCAATAGAAACGAGTTTGCTAGTCTTTCAGATTTAGAGGACAGGGTTGAGCTCAATGATACAGAAATGAAATATAAAACAACAAAATAATATGAAAAAGTGATGCAACAGCTTTAGATGATGCAAAAAAGACTAATCTATGAGTAAGAGAAATTAGTGAAAAATCAGAAAAAGCACAAAGAACATTAAAAAACCTGTTTACAGAAGTAATAAAGAAGAGATTTGCTGACATGAGAACATGCAAAAACATACAGAACATATATCATTTAACACACAGAAAAGTGAACAGATAGAACTCTAAATAGCATAACAGAAAAAAACCCTCATATGCCACCTCATAATTAAGAGACCAGAAAGCCAACACAAGAACAACCAGAAGATCAACAAATCAATTTAAAAGAAAACTGCTTCAGAATTAGGTCAGAGTTCTGAATTCAAATGCTCAATGGAGATACAGCTTGGAATGAAGAATTTAAACCCTAAACAAAAATAATTTTCAACACAATCTGATCTTTTCTGCAAATTCCTTCTCAGAATTGATGGAGAAATGAGACATTTTAATAAGAAAGAGGATAATTTCTAGGATATTATAATTTATTATAATATTATAATTTCTTATAATATCCTAGAAAGGGACAGTGAAGTGAACAATTTCAAAATGTCCAATCAAATGGACTTACAAAACAGGACAAGAAAGTAAGTAGGAGGAAAAAAGCAACATGAAGATAATACAATGAGAGGAACAAAGTAGTATCTATCAATTATTACTATCATTATGAATGGTCTCAATTTGTCAATGAAAACACACAGATTAACAAAATGTGTCAGAAATAAAATCCAAGGCCAGGAATTTAGCTTAGCAGTACAAATGCCTGGGTGGCTGGCATGAGGTCATGAATTTGATTTCAAGTACAGAAAGAAAGAAAGAAAGAAAGAAAGAAAGAAAGAAAGAAAGAGAAAGAAGAAAGAAGAAAGAAAAGAAAAGAAAATCAAGAAACAACAGGACACTACATACAGGTAACACAGTTCACACAAAGAGAAATTCATATACTAAAGTCAAGCATTAAACAAAATTCTGCCTCTTCTATCACATTTTAATGGATAACCAAAGAATGTGTGACATTTTCATTCATAATTACTCTGGACATATAATTTAGAAAACCACAGTTTTCCCACTCAGCCTAATATATTTTTCATGTCATCTTGAAGATATATTGTCCACTTCTGTAGAAGTTTCTCTCAATGTTAGCAGCCACAATTTTTTTTTACAAAATCTCCATATAATTTAATTTCAACAGTCATTATACCAATGATTTTCGTGCTAGGTTTTTATCTGTGTTATACTCAAATCAATATTCTCAAATCAGTGTTGCAGTCAAATTCTGAAAGAACTTTTAAAATAAAAGTTATAAATGTCCAGAGAAATAAAATGTTTGGTACTACTTTATAATGTAAATGATTTTGTTGCTGGATATGTATTGCAGAAATGAAATTATATATATATATATATATATATATATATATAATTAGCCAGACGCCAGCCTTTTCCAGTGAGTCAGTATTATTTGTAGACAAGGGGGGAAGAGAACAAGAAGTCACCAAGATGCAAGCCCTTCCTGTGAATGTGCAACATGTGGGCCACGGTGGGGACAATCAGAGTCCAGCCCTTTCTCCTGTGCTGGCTGGGAAACAAGAAGAAGCAAACACCCCCTCCCACCTGCCTCCATAAGTGACTGGCTGATCCAGAGAAACAGGCTGCAATGATAGCTATTGAAGTAAAATACCGTGGAATGCTTGCAGTTTTGAGTGTCTCCTTGACTTTGCAGGTCTAAAGCTAGTAGTCTTATCATCTCATAAGAGGATAACAGTATATAATGAAGCATCAATGGGAGAATCTCTTTCTGAAGGTGATAGACATTGTTAATTTCCTATTATCTTGTTTTGAAGACCTGTAGGATTTTCATTTTTTTGTTTGTTTGGGTTTTATTCTGTTTTATCTTGTTTGATTTTAGATAACGTGGGCAGCTATTTCAGTGACAAGATATATTATGATGGTCATGTTGGATTGACAATTATCTTGTATTGAAGTCCTTCATTGTATCCATTGTTTTGTTTTGTTGGTTTTATTCTGTTTTGCTTTTTGATTATGTCTGAAGGTATCTATAACTATTTTGAAACATGATAGTAAGCATTATTGATTTCACACTCTTTTGAAGTACTGTGTCACTTAACTGGTTTGTTTTGATTGACTTCATCCTATTTTATTATGCTTGGTTTTATCCTCTTTAAAATAAAAAAGTTAAAAATATATAATTAACTTATTTTGTTTCAATTAGTAATTACCATGTCTTCTGTGTGCTATGAACTTTTTCAGGTAATTTTATTATTTTGATTCTGTATTTTTAAATCAGCCCTGACAACACTGTTAACTTCATTTAATTTTAAAGGAGCATAGTCAGGTTCAAATTATAGCTGTTGAAATTTGCACATTTGTGGAAACTTCTCAGGAATTCCAGAAAGATACTGGAGTGGTGAACAGAAGCAAACCAGCCTTTCTGAAACTGGGATACCAAAGTGTGGCAACTTGGAGAAGAGAAGGAACGAGGTGAATCCTTCAAATCCAAGAAAGCTTTGCAGGAAGAATTGGAGCCCATGAGGAGAGCCAAATGATAGACTTCAAAGCAGAATTCCCTTTTCTCCCTGACTTCTAGCTCACTGTGTGAGACAGGAGTGCCCAGCCGGCACAAGTGCACCAGTGGGCACAGCAGTGGATGTGATGGCCTGCAGTGGCCAAATTGCTGGGATTTCAGGGCACGCTGCTCCCTAATCCTGCCACAGGCTTGGTAGGGTACTTTGCACACCACCATGGAGAGCAGAGACAGGCTCAGAGGTAGACACAGCCACAAAAACCCAAAAGATAATTACAGCCTTCAAATCACAAAAGAATCACTTCTGATTTTTTTTCTTTTTATTCCTTTTTTTTTTTTGTTGTTGTTGAATATATATTCTTGGGTTTTTTCATGAGTGCTAACATTGCTTTTAGTTTTGATGTTTTGTTTGGTACTCATTTTTGTTTCATCCTTTGTGTTTTTTTCTAATCTTTTTACCAGGCTCCAAAAGGTTAAATT